GGGTGGTGCCAGTCTCATCCTCTTTGCTTTCACACGCTCAGGCTGCGGGCTGAGGAGATGCTTGAAATTCTTCTCCACATGACTTTGGATCTCCTCGCCCAAGTCCTCCATCACACCATAGCTGTAGCTGCTTTTGCCTCCTGTTTCCTCCTCTCCCAAGATTTGGTGGGAACAGCAGATCAGGCTAGCTGCATTCTCACCTAGGAAATCTTGCTCATAGTGAAAGAACATTTATAATTTTTATTTTATATTATTTTGAAAGACTTATATAGCTGCCAGTATTGTAACAACAACCCTGGGCGGTGCATAAAACAATATAAACAACCTCCCCCAAACAATCAGAATAAAAATCAATAAAAATTCATAAAACTCTATAAAAACTTGTGGCATTCCAGGGCAGCACTCTCCCATACATCCCTACACCATCTTACTGGGCTCAGGCCACATTCTACCCCCAGTGCTTGTGGGTAAAGCCAGCACTTCAAGGCCTCCTGGAAGGCAAGGAGGGTGGGGGCCTGCTGATCTCAGGGGGGGGAGGTGTTCTGCTGCAGAAAAGGAACACTTCCTAGGTTCTGATAGAGGGCAGTATTTGAGGGAAAGGACCTGGAGCACAGCCACCTTATCTGACCTGGTGGGATGGGCTGATACCCTCAGGGACCTTGAATTGCACCCTGAAAGAAACTGGAAGCCAGTGTAGCTGACACAGCAGTGGTGTAATATAGATGAACCATGAGGCACCCAGAACTGTTTGTGCTGCTGCATTATGGGCCAGTTCTAGTTTTTGGATGGTGTTCAAGGGTAGCCCCATGTAGAGCACATTGCAGTAATCCAACCGGAAAGTGACGAGGGCATGAGTGACTGTGAGCAAGCCCTCCCAGTCCAGGAATGGCTGCAATTGGCACACAACATGGATCTGTGCCAAGGCCCGCCACACCTGCCACCTCCTTGAGCAGAAGCTGCGAATCAGATAGTAGTTAACATCTAATGCTCTTCATGATTGTTGATATTTTATGAATTATCAACACATGATTTTGGTCATAGAGCTAAAGTTATTTAGGACTAATCCCAATAGTGGCCAAAATAATTTTCCTGTAGTATTGAATCATATTGGTCTTCCTTTCCATACCATAAACTTGAGGTTATCATTTTTATTCTGATAGCTATTAAATTCTTGCCACAATCCAATAGATGAAATAAGATGGTGAAGCAGTCCACGGCTGCCATGGGTTGGAGGCTGATCTCATTTTCTGGGCCCAAGCCCCAAAAAATCGTAGCGCCCCAAGTCCGGCCAGAGGCCCTGGTCTACCCAAAAGTGCCTAAGGGAGCCGATTCACTGGGCTAGCCATGGTCAGAGTTCCACATGCATATCTACACTGACAGGATGCTTAACTTAGGGATACTCGGTATTCTGGAAATTTGTCACTAAGTAAATAAGGTTATACAGATAGCCCTCAGGTTACGATAACAATTGGTTTGGAGACCACGTCACTTAGCAATGGCAATTCTGACAGTCCCAGTCGTTAAATGAGGATCTCATGTGATTGTGGCTTCCAACTTCCTGCTGGGTTCCCCATTCACTTTGCTTGTGGGAAGCCAGCAGAGAACATTGGAAATCATGACTGTGGGGACACTGATGACAGTAATTCCAAGGACCCATTGTAAGTCCCCCTCGTCCAGCAGAGTCATAACTTTGAATGGTCGCTGAACCAATTGCCATCATAACCCAAGGACTACCTGTACACTTATTGTGATTTAATAAATATTCTCATATTTTTAAATGAGGGCAAATCTAATCAATGCAGTAGTGCTCTGAATTCAAGTTATTTAAAATGTTTGATTGCTGTTTGTATAAAGCGTATGGTAGTGTACTCGATGCAGGATTGTTGGATCAGGGGCAGGGGCCAGAGCAAATAGTGTTTTTAAACTGCCAGTAAATGGCCATGCTGCATTGAGACATTTGGTTTGGCTTCATAAGGCCAGCATTGCTTAATGGGCACCCTAAAGCAAAACTGGGATTATTTTAGTGATGGTTATATTGGAGTGAATAGAAGCACTGTGCCCAGTAACAATACTTGGGGAATTGGTCTCTGCAGGGGTTGTCTTTGCTGAAGACACCAATTATATATGATCAGTCTAAGGCTGTGGTTGTATTTTCTTTGCTGTAACTGCAGACCTTGGCTTAATAGATTGGCTTGTTTGCAGTAATTAATTTCTTGGCAACATGTAGTCACAACCTTGGCCCCAGTCATTTTAAAATAATTGTTGACAAATTGTCTGCAGGATGACAAAATGACAAAAGCAGCATTGAACTGTCGCATCCTTGTGTCCCTTTCATATGTGCATATGGCATCATGGTGCATATACAAAAGGAGTAGAGCTTGTGTTGCAATGGCACGGTACTGTTTTTGTCATTTCCCTCCTTGAGCTTTGCTCTCTGGGGTCACTTCTAGTTGTTGATCAACTTGAGTTTGGCAGAAGAAAAAAAAATCCATGAGGCAATGCTATGGCTTTTTTCAGAGATTAACCAGTTCTGTATTGTAGTAGTTGTAGACCAGACTGTTTATTTCCTGCTACTAATAGATAGTTTTATTGACAGATTGAAGGACTACCCTCAGTATTGTCAGCACCTGGCTTCTATTAGTCACTTTATACAGTTCCCTCATCACCTGCAGGAGGTGAGTGTTAAAAATTCATGGAAAGTGAATCAGCAAGAGGGAGCAAAGCAGTACAAAACAAATTAGGCTTGTGTTCAGTATTCACTTAAGAAAAGGCACGTAAGTATTTGTCAAAATTCTATGTGACAAGCTTCCATATATTAAAGAGGAGAAAAACAGGCTCCTGCATGGAAAATTGCCTTTAACCCTAACCCTCAATACATTTATCTAACAATTAACTTGAATTCCTTCTAATTTTTGCCAGATGTTTCTTAAAGAATTATGAAGGGGGGGGGTCCTGATACAGAAACTGCTAGGCACAGCAATTTCCTGCTGCCCATCTTAAAAGCAGCCAGAACAAGGAATTGTGGAATTAAGTTTGAAGGTCTTGTAACACTACAAGCACAGGTGGCTTAGGACCTCTGCATTAATCTTATGCCAATTGGAAAGGGTTTCTGTATTATGTAAGCCATCATACATATTTACTTGTGATTAAAAACATATTACCAACTATAAAGGTCATACTATCACTTCAGAAGTCATATAATCGTTTGACCAAAATTGAAGTTTGCTCTTTCAGTCATTACAGATTTTTTTGTTGTTTTTGTTTTTTTCCCAAGACTGATTTAGAATGTTTCTATCCCTGGATTGCTTTTTTGTTTGATTTCTTTCTTTCTTTCTTTCTTTCTTTCTTTCTTTCTTTCTTTCTTTCTTTCTTTCTTTCTT